CTTTTTTGCAATTCCTAGTGCCTTTTCCTGCCTTTTTCGCTATTTTATTTTGCCTTTTCCATCCTATTTCGTTACTTTATTTTGCCTTTTTTTATAGGTTTTTAGGTCCTAAAAATCCGTTCCCTGGTCATCAGTTATCCGTTTTAATTCTAAGCGGCAATTTTTGAATAGTCTTGGATCTGTGTAAATACAAACTCTTTTAGGCGTTATATCTATACAGAATACGGCTGGTATGTCAGAACAAGGATCTGAAACTCTTCTTGGCTCACCTCAATTACCTACTTTAACGATTGCGGCAATGATATCAAGGATACTTACAAATTTAATTATTTCGTCGGCATATCGATGGCTGAGTGGAAGATCGACCTTTCTCGGCAGCCGGTTCGAAAACGCCCTATTTCAGAACTTTTTTCAAGAACGCCATACTTCAGAATTTTATTGAAGAACGCCATATTTCAGATTTTATTGAAAACACCCTATCTCAGAATTCGGTTCAAAAACGCCCTATCTCAAGCGAAAATACAATGGAAATGTGCTGAGATAGGGCGTTTTTGAATCGGCGGCGGTACACAGGGCAATACTGAACATGTGGCCCTATTATGTATGGCGACTGATAGCCATAGGCAACCATATACTAAAATTCGCATTACGTTTGGCAACTGACTGCTGACTGAGTCTAGTAGCGCAATTTTCTGTTTCCCGATTATGACGATTTTGTTATTTGTTTACATAAATTGTTAAACACATTGGAGCGATGTCGCCAATTACTTCCAAATGCCATGGCTACTAGACCAGCAACTAGACACCAGTCGACATTCATAAAAGGGCCAATAGTCTTACACAGTGTTTACAGTAACATACAAAAGATGAGTGTTACGGTAAGCACAACCAAAGTAATGAGTAGGCAAACGAAAGTACTGCGAAGTAAATTAAACGAACAAGATAATGATAATACAGAGTACTCCAACAAGGTCGGAATTGATACGTGGGCAATGACAAATTCTGCACAGTCAGTCTCTCAATCGGAATACATAACACAAAAAATTTTAATTTAATATGAAAATTAAAGACTATGGATAAAGTAAATTAAGGTATAGGATATTGAACAAAAATTTCTTGGTAGGTCGGAATAAGCCAGCTCAAATTCTTTCCCACGACAACCGGATCTACATACCGGAACGACTCGGGTTGTTGTTTTGGTGACCTCACCTCCTTGCGTGATACTTTTCATCTCGCCTAACAGGACATATGTAGGGCACTCGTCAGCAAATGATTCATTATAACATACAAATTCATCCTCGTGTTGTCAGCATATCTGCGGCGGTGACAGTATTCTTCGTGCGGATGTTGCCCACGGCGATGTAGTAGCTTGGATGTATGAAAAAACCTTTGCTATTGACTATAATAGTCCATACTTAATATCGCCCGGATCGGTATTGTGAAAACCATAGTCTTTTTTGCAGGTCATAGTTTTTCGAGGGATTACCCGTATCAAAAATAGAGAAATACTTATTAGGTACTTGTTTCTTGCAATCTCTTAACTTAATAACAAAGTTTTAACAGCCTACATCTTCACCGTCTTCATCAGCTTCAATCTCTGTTACTGCCGACGGTTCTCATGACTCAATTACCAGTTTCACTTAAAAGCTGTGCATATTCGTTCCGCGTAGATAACATTCCGCAGGATCAGTACCACACCTGATATTTTATACTTATTTTTTTATATAAATACATATAAGAATATAATTTTAAAACTGTTTTATAATTTTCTTTTGTTCCAGTGATTTGACGGTCCGCAAAAAGAGTACCAACTTCACAGTTTTATACTGTACAGGGTTGCTCCATTTAGTACTGTTTACATTATCTAATTTTTCCTTTTTTTCTAATGTTGTATAAAACTGTTAGATGAAAGTATTCGACGCTTTCCTTGAAAAAGTGCGACATTTCGCGAGATTCTCATACTGGCCTCGAATAAAACCCACTCGCAGTGTTGTTTTCTCATTTTCTGGTGAAATTATTACATCCTCCATGTAAACGTATCAGAATTTCCTTATCTGTTAACTTTGCACGTCGTCGATGGCCATAGCAGAAAAAATGCTATAATATTACTTGGTAAGAGAGAGGAAAAAAACGATAACACAGAATTCCTGTACACTGAGAAAAAACATTCCTTGATGCTAGGAAAAAAGTATTTTCTTCTAAGGAAATATTACCTTGAAATGACTTCAATGACACGGCTGCCTTAATATGAGTAAACGATTTGACTCAGTTTAAGGAAAACACAATTCCTTAGTTGTTAGGAAAAAATTACTTGCCATTTCATCCCCCGTGAAAGGAATAAGTATGTCATAGAGCAAAGCTCTGGAGTGCTAGTCGAGAGATGCAAGGTCCCAGAGCAGGAAATATGTTTTTTAATATTTTCATTTATTTTTTTAATTGTATTAAAAAAAAAAAAATATATAATTTATTTTTAATGATATTTGAGTATTTAGAGTTTTACGTATATGAAACTAATTTTACATTTTATAATTTATATTTAATTTAAATTGAAATAATTGACTTTTCTTACTCTATCGATATCGATATATCGATCTAAACTCATCACTTGTCAAAAGATGCGTGGCCGACGTTTAGCTATCTTCAGTGTCCTTTTTCTTATATTTTGTTGAATGAGCTTGGCACAGTCCAAACATTGTCTGAGCGGCGGAAAAAATGACGTTAAGCTTTGTATAGTGAAGAACGATGAATTTTGTGACTCGATAACCCCACTTACCTACATCCATATATTGTGGTTGTTGCAGAGAACGTGTTGCTGTCATTTTTCCGCTTAAAGTATAGACGGATGTAATCGGTATATTAATGGGCGAAAATTCAAATTCGCAGTATCTTCATTAAAAAGAAAGCATTTTTCACCGCACTGTATTCTGCAAAACTTCTCCAGTAAAAGCCTTACGTCTATCTGTAATTACCCTGCAGGAATTTGAACTGGCCCTAAACTAGCCTTTAGATAGTTCCTAGTGTACCCAGGACTAGTCCCTCATAAATCCCCCAGCAATGTTCTCAACTGCTACATTTAACTTAAGCGTGTCATTGGAGAGGGACTAAAAAAAAAAAAACTGACCGGAGGATGGTCTGCTTTCAGTCAGTTACAGCCCACCGAAACATTGACTCGTTTCAGTCTAAGCCGTTTCCGGTCAGCTCCTGTCTAATCAAACATTGACTTGTTTCCATCTAGTCCGATTTCGGCCAGTTCCTGTCTAGCCATACATTGACTTGTTTTAATCTAGTCCAAATAAGAACATATTTTTAGATTATACATATGTACTAGCTGTTTTTTATTTCAACTCGAATTGAACATTGGTACTTAGCTCTATTTTTTTTTAAAGACAGTTAGCAACCCACAAGGCGCACAAAAAATAAAGAAAATTTAGATGCATTCGATCTAAAAACAATTTCAATACATTTCTATATAAATATATATAGAGGTATTTTTCGACATTTGGTCACGTTTGATTAAACAAATTATGAACTTCTGAAATTAGTTAGTCACAAAAAGTGTAGGTACAGAGAGTTTTTAAATATTCTTTTCGTTAAGTCTTTATACAAATATTATTAATACTACGATAAAAAGCCCAAAAATCAGAGTCCCAAATTACCAAATTTATGATTATTCTGATTTTTGGGGTTTTTGTCGTAGTATTAATAATATTTGTATAAAGACTTAGCGTAAAAAATATTTAAAAAACAGTTGACCGTATTGCAAAAAACTCTGTACCTAAACTTTATTGACTAACTGTAGGTACATACATTTATGTAGCAAAAAAGTTATCCATTAACTTACAGTGGCCCACAGTCAAGTAAGCCAGTTGCTTTAATTCAAGAAAACGACTTTGCAAAAAAAAAACGTAGTAAATACTGTAAAAAATATCACAGGCTCATATCGACTGTGAGCCATGGTACAATAAAAACAGGTAGAAGCCAAATTGGCATCAAACCTACAAAAGTCAAAGTTTTCGGGAGAGTAAAAATAAAAATGAGCGTGTGTAAGGAAAAATAAAAAAATTACATTTCGCTGGTTGGCGTTTTTAAGTAAATTTGAAGTTTTGTATTTATTTATTTATTTTCTTTAGTTAAAATTTGTTAATTTATATGTTCTTTTCTATTTTTTTTATACATTGAAAGTTTATATTTATAGTACCTGTTTTAGTTTTGTATAATATACAAATGTATGTATAAAGCGATATATGTACTAGGCATAACGTTGGGCAATCAATAAAACAACGGAACACAAATAATGATTGCGACATTCCCTGTAATGCATTTTCAATAAGTTTGGCTTTCTCCAACTCTGTCTTGAGTGCTGAGTTTTCACCCTCCAGATTTTCAATTCTTGACTTCAGCAACAGAATTTCGAGTTTGTAGCTGGATTGTTCTCAGTCTCCACTAAACGCCTTAAATTAANGAAGCGCGATCATTTATTAAGCTTTCACAACTTGATTTATGAGTTGCAGTGTTGTTGGAAGGACTTTCCGGCATAAGGGTCATAGGAAGAGCACTTGGCATCAAACGTGCCTTTCCTGTACCTCCTGGTGCATTTATGAAATCTGCTGCTTTAAAATGCTTAACGCACAGCAAGGCATTTCGCTGCAGCTCTACCCCACATCTGCTTTCCCAACGCTCCTTACGCCGAGGGCATTGAGGCACGTTAAAAAAATTAGTGATGTCTGCATTATATTTAACACCACATAAAAAACAACGCTTCAGGTGCTGCATTTTTAACACATACACTAAGTATAAACCGCACAACACTACAAAAATGCAAATTTAATTAAAATTTGTTTTTAACGAACATTCAAAAAAAACAAACGACATGCCATTTTAAGCGTAACGAAATATAGGAAATAAAATAAAATCAAGTTGAAGTTTAAAGGTTTGGTTCTCATGAGAGCAACGTCATTTTGGCTTTTACCTGTATTTATGTGCCTTGACTGTGAGCCACTGCACGTACAAATGTATACAGGATTACAAAGAATTTACATAAAGTATGGGCACAAGAAAACTGGTCGCACAGAGTCAAGCGCAGCTTTTTTAACCCAAATTTACGTATAATAAACAAAACTAACTATGTATGTACTATGTACATATACAAAAACATCTTTGAATTGCAAAAATACATTTTTGTTTTATAACGTTTTAAGTGCGCCCAGTTTTTTTGTAGATATAATGTAACAAGTGTTTAAAACTTCAACAAAAGAAAAACTGGATTAAAAAAAGAAAATTTATTATGGCTAAGTTCGACTTCTAGTGTTTGCACTACATACATATGTACATGCATGGGTGTATTTATATTGTTTCGTTTATGTTTGGAACTGCATTTTCTTAGATGAATCCTTTGGCTTACGGAAACTCTTTTTCTTTTCTTTGTGCATAGCAATACGTAGTTTCTCTTCAGGGTGATCTTCTGATAAGGAAATGGCTTCTGTTAAAAGAAAGTGAGGGTTACTTATGTACATATTAAGTATACATAATAGCACATTACATGAAATATATTTACCAATTAAATGAAAGTAAACATTTTTAAAATCCTTTAGGCGATGTTTACTATGGGTACCATCAAGGTTGTAGTCCATAATTAAGTTGTTTGCGATTACATTACTTAAGTTTTTGTTAAGGTTTGATGCAATTAATGTTTTCATATGTCGCACCTAAAACGAAAATACATTTAAAGGATTTGTTGTAGAATAACTACATTGTTCTAATTTACTTACATATATTTCTGGTTGTATTTCCAATAGTTCGTCCAAATTTTTCAGCTCCTCTGTTGATTTTATAGGGAAAATACCTTTCAATGTTTGCAATGCTTTATTTTGATGCGTTAATTCCATGAGAAGTACTTTGTGCTCAGCCAAAATATCGCAAAACTTATCAGATTGCTGTCTGGATTTTTCTGTGGGAGATGTACATATGTATGCACATATTTTTTTTTTAAATATATAAAATATACTTAGTTAAAATTAATCATTACCTTCCATCGCACTTAATTTTTCGTAAAGTTTGTCGCATTTTTCATTTAATTGCTCGCATAGATGACATGTACCTAAGGAGTAAAGAGAGTGAACGTGATAATAGTTGCATTAGTGGTATTCACCAAATTGAGAAAGTGGCCTGGCACTCTGGTAAAAGAGCAGATTCGCTCAAGCAACTACTGTTGCGACGACTGTTGCCAGAGTCCCAGGCTACTTGCTCAGTTTGGTGAATACCTATGTATATAAAATTCGTATGTCGTATGTATCTACATATATATTTACGTTTAGAGGATTCATGCCGCTTTGCTTTCTTTGGTGGCGCCGACATTGCAATTATTGCCAACTGTGGAGAATTGGTATTATTATAAATTGAGATTTATATGGTAACAGCAGAAATTTATATTCCAGAGCTTCTAGAGGAAATATTTCTTCTTCTCCTACCACAAGATCTGTCATGTAAATTCGCAAAGTACAGGACTTGACTGGTTCTGTAAAAAAACTCCTGATTGAATCCTTCGGCCTTTTATAAATTTCTTGTCTCCATCAATGCACCTAGTTATTTTTATAGGTATGTTAGATTTCACGGAGCAAATGTTATTTGGTTCATTAACCGAGTAAAAAACGTTACTTATATGAACACCCACGAGAAATCCTCCAGAATACTTGGAACAGTTGTTTTCTGTTCTTATTAATTTTGCGTTCTTCTCTTTATTAACAATTTGCTCCAGAATCTTATTCGGCTTTTTAACCTGTTTTTTTATCATTTGCAATTTGTTTTCAAAACTGTACGCCGAAAAACAGGAAGCAACTCCGTATTTTTCGACGCATTTAACTAAATGAATAAGGCTGTGGACGTTGAATGAAATGCTGTCACTTCCGAAAACGATTGGGAAATTCGTAACAAATAACTGAAGTAGATCGCAAATTTACATTTATTTGTCAGGGACAGTTTAGTAGCCTATATGCGCAATGCAATAGCATAAATTCATAAAAAAAGTCTTCTTCTACAACGTCTATTAAGACAGCTGGACCAGTGTATGCTAAAAATTGGCGAAACTCAGTCGCTTTCCAATGCGGTAGGTCGTCTAAAGGTCTTGGCTTTCTGGCAAACTCAGGCGGAATGAAGCGTTCAATGTGTAGCAGATTCTCGGATATATGGCACAGCTTGTCTTTTGAAATTTTACGCGTAATTTTATTATTCACCAAACGAATTAGTATTTTGCGTCAGATCGTCAAGTGCATTGTGTCTAAAGGTAGTTGCGTTACCATATTCAGGTTCAATGACCCCAGCGGTGTTTTGTTAGACAACGTTTTTTTTTGATGATGATCAGCATATTTTCTGTTAAAAAAATCTTCATCGGAAATTAAAGAACCACATGAAGGGCTGTAAGTGAGAACATTGCCTATTTTCTTAGCTGTTTGTGTACATTTCGTACACCCGTTCTTGAAAGTGTGTCCTGGAACGCCCATAACAAAAGCTTTGGCTGGCGTGTCGCATATCAAACAACGAATATGTAGTTTTATTAACTTCTCATTAATAAAAAAATTGTGTTCTAAACTTTTCAATTCGTTTACAAATTCATAGAAAAACGTGTCTAAGCAATTTGGTTTCCTTTTTCCTAGGTAGATTCCCACCGGGAAAGGATCGACTACTTCTTTGATATTCACAAGTTTTAACAAAATAGGCCATAACTGAACTCGAGAGCTCCTAAAGAGTGGTATTCCGTTTATATTGATGTCCACATATAACTCATTGTAGTTTTCCAAGACAGAGGAAATTTTTCGGAGCCCGTTTGCAATTCCTAAATGACAATATGTGCCAGGAGATACATCTTTTAACACAACACGTTCACTTTTTCCAATTAAAACTTGTGCAGACGGAGGCACATCCAAGCCTTCTGATTTCAAAATTTTTAGCAGGTCCTCTAAACTATTCCTGGAAGGCTTCGTTTCAATAAACCAGTCCTTCAGCTTATCGCACAGAGTCCTTTTAGCAGTATTTATTTCAGGAAAGTTTGAAAAAGCGTAGGTAATTTCGCTTTCGTTCAATTCATTTGCTATTAACTCGCAATTTCTTTGAATTCCATTTTCATTACGCGAGCTAACTTGGCATTTGTATTTTAACGCTTCTTTGCGCACTTTTCTTTTCAAATTTCTTTTACTCATTGTATTGACCGAAAAAGATTGGATTTTGTAAATTATCGTATTCAATGGATACCTTTTTAACAGAAATATGAAAACTTATTCTCACTGATCGAAACGAAACGACGCCAACAAATTGTTATACACACAATAAGAGATGACAGCCTTGACACAGCGTGAGTGACAATGAGTTGACAGCGGAAAAGGGCTGCCATGTTTTACATATGAAAAATACACAATAATAATTGATAAAAAATACCGATATAATCTTAAATGATAGTAAATTACAAAAATCTTTTATATTATTCTAATTTAATTGGGTTAATAAGTAGTCTAAGCGTAAGAATCATGAGCATAGTAATAATATATAATACAATTTTATTTAAAATAAATAAATATTTAAACTTAATGGCAATTATAGTTCGTGTAGAAGAAGACGAAGAGAATAAATGAAGACAGTGGAATATGTGCCACTGACCGAAGGGTAGTCTATGTTGTTTGAATGAATTGTTAAATATTAACCGGTCCAATTTTAACCAGTTTAGAACTGGTTATTTATTTGGAATTGTCCGCCCAATTACTGCAGGGTACCCTTTGAGGATTTCCAAAAATTGCAGATTGTTTTTATAGTCGTTCTAACACGGACGCGGAATCTGTACTCTTAGTTTAGTTGGGTATAACCAGACGAATGTGCTAAACGCGTCCACTACAACAAAATGTTTCACCCTGTCCCTTAGTTTGCATTCTGTCTGATACGTGCTACCTTCTTAGCAGAGATTTGAAACAGTGACATTGACTCCTAACTTTTTTTTTCGCATGATAAATAATGACGGTACTGCATACAAATTGTCAAAGGATCCAGTGCCGAACAAATTGATAAACTGATCCGTATGAGTCGTGGGAAACTCTGGTCAATGACTGAGTTGAATTTTATATTAACTACACTGCGAAAACAGTTTAGTTATTACTACCAAGATTTGGTGATAGCAACCAAATGATATAGTTAAATAAAGCCATTGCTTAGTAAAAATAAATATTGTTTCGTTGATATAAGCTCTCAATTCGTTTTGTCAACTTGTTGGGTTCGGCACAAATAAAAATTTAGTCTAATGTTTCCTGTGTTTATTTTTCTAATTGCAATTAAAACTAATATTTAACAATCATAAAGAGTTATTCATGCAAATAATATTGTCTGGTAAGAAACAGGAAATAAACGATAACACAGAATCTCTGTATAAATATTTATGTGCAGTGCATGTTACGTGACAAAGAGGAAATACAAGCGAATGACGTCTTGCATGCCTCTTATCAGTACTTGACCATATCTAGGCAATAAAGACGAATCCAAACATATTTGCTTAGTAAACAAAGAATCCTATGGCAAAGCCATTGATGAACTGATCGCGCAGAAGCGTGAGAAACTCTGGTCAAGATTTGCTGGAAGTTCTACTTTACGTACACTTTCTCATTGGATACAGACTTTTAAATTGCAAATAAGTAAGATGAATTATATATTCGTTGGGCCTTTTCTAGTTCCATTTTTATTTTTATTTATATTTCTATTTCTATTTGGCTTGAGCATCAAAAAGTTAATACTTATAAATAATTACGCGGCCCTAATTCACCGTTCACGTTATTTAAAGCCCTGCATTGGGAAAATAATATAAAAAGTTATTTTCCCAGCAAGAGCGTTTTTCTTGAATTCTATTAACTAATAAAATTAAAACTGACTTAATTGGACAGTTATACGTTTATGTTTATATCGTATTATTATAAATATGTTTATGATATTGAATCCATGTGGTAATGTGCTATGATATTTCAAGTTGAAAATATTTTCACATGATTTTTTTCACGTGACTTTTTTTTGTAAAATTTTGGATGTTTTCATATTTTGAACTTAGATATTTTATCGATAAAGTGTGAAAAATAGTAATCATTAATACAGAATCGTATTTTCTGGCTAATTTTCGTCGAATATTTTCTTCTTTTTGATGAGCTTTTTTGGCCTAAATGGTAATTAGTGCAAGTAAAATAACATTTTCCCTTCACTGCTTTGGCCTACGTTTCGCTAAAACCTCTTAGCATCTTCAGATGCGAATTTAGTCATATATATGTATTTACATTGGAATATTTGGTGACATTTAAACATATAAACACTAAAAATACAAAACTTAAATGCTAAGGCATTGTTCCATCCTCATTTGGTACACTTGTCAATTCTTATAATTAGTCTACGGATTTTTATGCAAAATACGGAGCCTAGAAATTTGTACCACATAACTATAAGCAAGGTTTATAAATTTGTATACAATTTGTTTATAGTTAAGTGGTACATATTTTTAGGCTTCGTTTTCTGCTTATAAATCCCAGTCTACTTATAATCTCACTAAGATATTTGTGAACTAAGTTTTCTAGGGCGTATGTTTTTAAAACTCATTTTATAAAAACATTATACAATAGCGGTGTTCACACCGAGCTTGGTCCTCGGTAACTCGGTGTTCGTTAATTTTTCCTCATGTATTTTGTTTGGGTAAAATAGTATCACAGTAGTAGTATCGCTCCTGCGATCTCTCTTATTTGAGACATTCGGCTTCCTACCGGTCCAGTTTTCGCTGGCTGTAATATCTCTACCTACTGATGGGTACACCTTTATTCGCATGCACACTTATTTCCGTTTAAGGGGGAACAAGTTTGGTTTAAATCTTAAATAGAATATACTCTCCATTAAAATGTTTAGTGGTATAATAATAATAATCTTTAAACTTTTTAAACACATCCGACTTATTTTTAATTAGATACACAATCACAAAATGATTACAGTCATCGATGAACGGTAAGAAGTATGTACCAACACATCGGTATGCACCAACTCTAATGGTTTACGTGCCCTATGTCTAACAATTCGTATACCTGTTTCCCACATAACATTTTGACTGAATATTTCCAATCCTTTAAGCCTTTAGGTTTCTTTAAATCTAAATTGTCTGTGCCTATTATTTACTAAGTGATTTGAACAGCCTGAATCAACATGCCACACTATGTTATTTGTATTTAAATTACAATCACATAGAAAAGCTATTCTATTTGACTGCGACTCACATTCGTCCACGCCGTAAGCTTGGCGTCTTCGATGATAATCTTGCCGGTAACTATTTGTAGTTCCTCCTTGCCCGTGATTGAAGCGTGGCTTCCGCCCATCTGGAACGCTCCTATATTGAAATCTCTACCTGACGGTTGATTAAACTTTCGTTGTGAGCATTCGAACCTCTTATAGTTGTTTTCCATTCAGCTCTGGTAGGGGCTTGATATAGCTCTTTGAACTCCCAGTGTCCTCAAGGAGCTTGACCTCTTTCCCTCCTATTGACCATGCAATTCAAGGAAAGAGGGACTTTGCCCTAAAAAATTAAGCTCATTGTTCTCGATGCTATCCGCTGCTTGTTCCGCTTCTTTATCATAAGTTGATTCGTTAGGTAAATCAGGCTCGTCGTTTAAATGGTTAACGCGTTGTATCTTAGGTGCGGTATAACGCCCTGAATTCGCTGCCCGTTTCTGCATACGTCTTCGCTGTGAACTGTTGCTTTGGTCTTGACCAGGATTACTGACATAATTCTGTGCGGGACCGGCCTGCTTGCAAAATTTGTCGCAAAAGCGTAGCTCCCGTTATTAGCAT